AAGACTGGGATATAGACATTGCAAAATCTTAACAAAACTTCTGTTTCTCTCTAGCCTCTTTTCATATCATTTATTTTTGGATGAAGGTCTCTCCCAATTATCACCAGCGAATTTTATTTTGAGAAACAAAACCAAATTAGGTGAAACTGGTATACCTTGACTATTTCCATGATTATTTTAATGATGAAATGGTCAGAAGTACCTACCGATACCATGTTGGAACTCTTCCTCTCCAGCAAGTTGGTATAGCTGTTCATTTACAGGTGATGATGACTTGTATTTTTGAGATAATAACGGAGCTTAACATTATTCAGTTCTTCCTCAATGACGCTCTCCAAACATTTTCCATTATTATGCATTTCTCGTAACCAACAAATTGCTTATTTCAATAATAACGTGGCATTAGTAAAATTTGATAGGACTGAATCCAAAACCTGATACAAAATCCATATGTGTGGAAATTTTTTGTGTAAAAAAAATACTTCCTTTACAACTCACCGAAGCAATATTTCAGTGCATGGTATAATCATAAAATCCACGAACAAAAACCATCCACAAGAATAATAATTTAGGCATTTATGCATATTTATCATGCAGGACATGTAACCGTTGTCGGATTTGAGACTTGTCAGCCCTAAAGGAAAAGGAAAATGTATTTTAGTCATAAATTCAACGTTGCAACTTGATGACTAGTAATTTATTGTCTGTCAGATTATACACTGAAGTTTTTAATTTGCAATGGAATTTGAATTGGATAAATGGATAGGTAAATAATTATTGTTTTATACTTGGTATTTTTTGGTATTTTGATCAAAATACGTGAATTCAATTAAAAAGTTTAAACAATAAGCCCACAAACTCATCGATAGTCAATGGAAAGTAGGCCAAGCACTTTTACTCATTTTGTGTTCATTGACAATCGGTAGGGTGGGTAAAAAAGAGTCGAACGTATTGATGGACTTCATAGATTGATTCTATTGTAAAGAATTTGAATAATATGTCACATGTGTGTAAAATGAAAGCATGTTCGAACTAAAAATGTTCATAGTGAAAAGACCAGTTACACTGGTAGCACCGAATTTCAAATCAAGGTAGATTGCTCCATAAAAAAGTGACTGTTTTATGACCATATTATACTCTTTAAAATCTAAATGGCTTGTAATTTAAGATGATTATCTAATTAAAAATCTATAATTTGATTCGTTTTTGATAAATTCAGTTACTGTTAGGCCACTGACATTTGACTGTATTGGAAATATCATATTACTAAGTATTAAAACTAGTTGCATAACAATGCAAATATAAATTTGCATTTTTAATTTATGAAGTGCAATGCACACAGACAAGTGCTTCTAAATCTTTTTGCTTTATAATAGCATTTATTGACCAACAAAGTAATCGTAATACACCTACATTTGTTTATGCACATGTAGGCTTGTAGATTGGCTATTTTAATCCCAGCTTCCGTTTAAATTTTTTAATATTACTTATCTGGCTTTGATGGCTACGATTCCAGACATGATTATAAATAGAATTCAAATTTATATTGTTTTAATGGACTGCGATTGATGTTGGAAACATGTGCGAGAAATAAGAAATATTGGAATTTTTTGATTAAAAAATCACAAAATCAATCATAGATACACAAAATATCCTGGATTTTTATGTATGACATGCAATTGAGACTTGGCGTCATAAGTCTGGAAATTTGTAAGAAGATCGTGGTAGAGGCAAGTCTATATGCTCAGTGAAGTTGTGGCATAGAAGTAAAGTACAGATATTCTAAAAGGTTTCGATAAGGCAGAAGAAGCAAGATAAACTCTTGTTATTTTATGTCTAGTCAAAACAAGTGGGCGAGTCTTCGGCTCCGTCAAGTTAGCCCCCCACATTCGAATTTTCTATCAAAATTGCAACTACCTACTACGCTCGAAGTGGCTTTACTGTGCGGATACTATTTTGAACTGTGCAGTTCCGCTACCAAAGTTATAGGAAAAAAAAAGATGAGGGGCTAACTGACGCTCAGCCCCCCAAAATTATGGAAATCAGATCAAACAAAAATTGATTCTTATGCAATCTGAAGTGTGCTGAACTGTGCTGTATATCAGGTTTTTCTCAAAATTTCCATAATCGGTCATTTTCCGACAAAATCCTACTGGAGGAGCTAACTTGACGCTCAGCTCCTCCAAAATTTTGGAAATCAGATCAAACAAAAATGGATTCCTATTTAATATGAAGTGCGCTGAACTGTGCTGTATCAGGTTTTTCTCAAAATTTCTATATTCGGTCATTTTCTGACAAAATCCTACTGGGGGCTAACTTGACGCTTAGCCTTCCAAAATTTTGAAAATCAGATCAAACAAGAATGCGAATTCCCATTCAATCGAAAGTGCTGAACTGTGCTATATTAGGCTTTTCTCAAAATTCCCATATTCGGTCATTGTTGACAAAATCCTTGACTAACTTGACGCTCAAGCCTCAACCCCCAAAAATTTTTGAAATCAAATCGAACAACAGTTCAGCACAGTTCAGATTGCATAAGAATCCATTTTTGTGTGATCTGATTTCCAAAATTTTGGGGGCGGGCTGAGCGTCAAGTTAGCCCCTCATCTTTTTTTTTTCCTATAACCTTGGTATCGGAACGGCACAGTTAAAAATATTATCGGCAGAGTAAAGCAAACTTCGAGCACAGTAAGTGGTTGCAATTTTGTTAGAAAATTCAAATGTGGGGGGGCTAACTTGACGGAGCTCAAGTCTTCACACCGTATTTACATAAAATAATATTTGCAACTGGGGCTCGGAGCCAAACAATATATATGTATCAATTCGTGGAACAATAAAATCATATTTCTTTTAGCCTTGACTTGTTGAACTTGTCTGGCCCCTGCAGATATGCTGAAAAGAACAAATAATATAGGGAAGACCTTCTGGATATAAGTTACATTAAAAACGTGTCTATATTTCTACAATAATATAATTTTATTATGTAATTGACCTTTTCCTTTATACAAAACATTACCATCTTTGGTAAAACCATAACAGATTTACATTACCTATGCCTATAGTAAATGCTCCCTGTAATATATTTGACCTTGTTTGGATATTAAATTCTATAAAAGTTATTATTGCTATTTTGATATTCAATTTGAGAACTATAATTTCATTCTCAGAAATCCTATACATTTCCTGAGACACTATTCTCCATTCCTAATATTTCAATTTAAATTTAAATTGAATATCAAAAGGAGGTATAAATTTTAAAGATTTATCATTGTTACTAGTTCGTAAATTATCTATTTTTCTAGATGCCTTCAGGCCAAATATGGCGAGCAGTCTCGCCAGCATTACTTTTGAACCGCTTACCTAACAACTCGGCCAATACGGTTTGTTAAATTATTCAAGGTAGAACAAGAATTTTACTTTAGGTGTGAAATTATGCAAGAGGCCAATTATTAATGAAGAATCAAGTAAAAATTCATCTCAACAATTCTAAATAAATAGGTCACCGAAACATTATAGGCAAAACGAATCGGGATATAAAATGTTTGAAAATAGAAATTTTACAACCATTTCTAAAAATACTTCAATTGCAATCAACTGGCCGATATTACTATTTGTAGGTTCGGTGAGGATCTGGTTTGCTTTAAATTTAAACAACTCGAGAAATCGTTGATGACTAACATAAGAAAAATTAAACTTTATATTTTGGACAAGAGATCTTTTGGATATGTTGCTTTTTTTGATTTCAACATCACAAAATCTAAGACCTTCTGGTTAAAATAAGTCTGTTCGAGTTCTAATTTTTTTTCTATGTCTTTGTTTCTATTAATCTATCAAAGATATAGATTTGAGTGCTAATTGGTATTATAGTTTTGTATTTTTGGGGTTATGATTTTCTAGCTTTTCCTTGATGATGTCTAGGACTTATGTAATCGAAAAGTTTGTTAAAAGTATTCTATATGAAAACTGATAATCCAAACTTCTTTCATTTCTTTGAAAAAGAAGTGCTGTATGTGTTCAGTTGTAACTTTGAGAATCTTGGCAACACGTAATTGGTCGTACTGGTATCACAGCTTTAGAGGATTTTTGGTAGTCTATATAGAGGGTTTGCTCTCATAGGATGTGAACCTCATTTTTAAGGTGTAGGAACAGATCTTCATTTCATAAAGTTTGTGAGAAAATTGTCAGTCGTTTGAAAACGAATCAAAATATAAGTATTAGATGTTCAAATCTGTTTTTTTTCAACAAATTGCAAGTGGCACTTTCAAAGTAATTTTCTATTGCTTAACTTCAAGAAAAATCTGCTACTGTGTGCAAAATCCTAACTGAAAACCACTGAACTCACAGGAACTAAACTAGCTGTATAGGCATTCTGTAAAATATAAAACAGTAACGGATATTAGATTACAATTATTTTTGTTCTTTATGCTTAACGAGTCGTTGCAAATTTTCTTCTTCCTTATTTTTATACCTTAACAATTGTTTTAATGTAGTACTGCGTATTCTGAACAGAATATTTTCTAGATGCTAATTTTTACGCCTACAGTTTGTTTCACTTGGGAATTCTTTTATTTAACACTCACCACAGGATCAGACCTATTTTTAACTTTACTAACGTAAACAGAATTGGATCCAAATTATTCTTTTTCAATCACTAAATTTGCCAAGTCTGACTACATATAAATAATAAAGAATTGTCTATCGATCCAACAAATAATGAAAAGGTAATTTCAATAACCAATTTATTGCTTCATGCCTTTATCCAGATAATAATAGCCTCATTTCAGTACACTCCCCTAAAAAAAACACTAATAATAAGGAAATCCCATAAGGACGTGGGATTGGTGTTTTTATATTCATAAATTTCCGTTCCCAATGTTTAATATTAATAGAAATGCGTAAGGTGTGTGCGTGTCTAGTGATTTACGAATGACATCTATTGCTGAATTCAATTTAATTAAGAGTAGCTTTTTTGGTAATAATTTGTATTTCATTTGTTGCAGTGTGGAGATTGGATACATCTGAAAATTTTGGAAATAACACCGGAATTGACTAGCCTAGGAAATACACTCGCCGAAGCTTTGGAACTTCAAAAAGCTCACAATGAAGTTTTACGTCAACTACAAGTGAGTACTTTTGGATACAGGTTTATTCGAACCAACAGGTTCAAATTTGCTATACTTTCAGAAAAAATATACTACAGCTTACATCCAGGTTTCTCAGTTTGTGAATCATGATTTTACTATCAGAAAATAAGACTTGGCTTATATAGCTTTGTACTTTCTGTTATCTTCTTCCGAATGATTTTCGTCTGATATATTTTCTATTTCTTTGTCTTTTATCCAAAATTTCTCAAAGGAGATGGCACAAATAACATGGGCTATGGCCACCGGCTAAAGTGACTGGGATTTCAGTATGGTATAGGGGTTGGCTTGCTGAAGAATGTTTAAATGGAACAAATTTTTCTATGGGCCATAGTAAGGCCACAAATCGCAATTGAAGTTAAGATATCCCTAATATCGATTTAATTATTATGGAGAACACAGAGGTTTAATTGCAACAATTTTCGAGTTAGTTGTTAAACCAAAATAAGCATTTCTATTTTTGGTATGAGAACCATTAACTTTCATCTACAGGGTCAAAAATTGGAAAAATAAACTATATGAGCTATTTTTTAAACTTTAAATAAGTGAAGCTAAAATTTTTAGGAATAGATTAAAATAAAATAATAATAGCCATTGAAATATATCAAATATTTTCAGCAGTATAGACATGAAGACGTGCGTCTTTTCTAAAAATTATAGAAAACACAGGGTGTTCCATTTAGAAATGAAACCCACTTTGAAAGCGTATTTTTAGTCCATCAGTTCATCCGGCATAACTCTTTGGTTTTAGTCCACCCTGTAGATAAAAGTTAATGGTATTCATACCAAAAATAGAAATGCCTATTTCTGTTTAACAACTTACTTGGAAATCGTTGCAATTGGACCTCTGGGTTCTCCATAATTATTAAATCGATATTACGGATTTCTAAACTTCAATTGCGATTTGTGGCCTTATTATGGCCCATAGAAACATATGTTCCATTTGAACATTGTTCAGCAGCAAGACATCCTCTATAACATACTAAAATCCCAGCCAATTTAGCCGGTGGCCACCGCCCATGTTATATGTGCCATCTCCTTTAACTTCTTGGTCTATATCACAATAGGCCTCAAATGCCTAATGTTTCTGTTATCATCAACACTTTCACTTTCAAATTCAAACAGCTTTTTAAGTTTTCCGGATGCTTTTCAAGTTCAACTTGAGAATAGTTTTTTTTTTACAACTTGGCAAAGTCATAAAATAGTTAGTTGATGCATATTATGGTTGCAATAATCTCTAAAAGCATAATAAAGGTGATTGCTACATTCATAACGAAACCTAAACTAAATAAATAAAAGAAATGCATGCTTTGCCCACACATTGGCACGACTGCAACACCTACACTACCTGATCTCAGTTTTATTTTAATGCAGAACTTTCATTCTGGCTCTTTAGGACGAGCCTGCTTGTAAATAAAAAAGTTAAAAATTAGAATTTAAAAAATGTCAGCAATACAAGTTAATAAACGATCAAGAATTTGGGTTACGTAAATTTTACTCGATCATTCGAAAACCAAATGTCGATATTTATAGCTTCACTGCCTTGCTTATTTTAGTTCAAATAAACAGCCACCAAAAGGTTTCATTAGCAAAAAATGTACAGCATTGACGTACAAAGCTATGAAATATATAATTTAAAAAAAATCTATACAGGATGTCCCCGTTCAAGTGGTCAAAAATGGTAGGGATAGAGAAACCATAGATAAGTAGTTTGAGATGGGACACCGATGGTCGGAAGTGCCTCATTTCCAAAATACAGGGTGTTGAAATTTATTTATATATAACCAACAACCCCCTTTCATATCATCTGAAGGGCTAATGCTTCTGTTCAAATTTTCAGGGATTATTGATGTAGAAATGATATTTAAAAATTCGTATAATCCACCCCTATTATCTACCTGGAAGCACCCAAAAAAAATAAAATAAAAAATAAAATTTGAAAAAAAAGGCAATTTGTTTAAATTTTTTTTTTTTTTTTGGGGTGGTTCCAGGTAGAAAATGGGGGTGCAATATACTAATTCTTAAATATCATTCCTAAATCAATAATCCCTGGAAATTTGAACAGCCTTAGCCCTTCAGAGGATATGCCCTGTATTCTGGAAACGACGCACTTCCGACCATCGGTGTCCTATCTCAAACCACTTTCCTATGGTTCCTCTATATACCCTAGCATTTTTGACTAATTGAACGGGGACAACCTGTATACATATACATGATAATATACCTAATTATCAAACATTTTCAGCAGCTTCTCAAATCCTCTTTTATTTTTTTTTTTGCTGGAAAATAAAGACCATATTTATTTATTTATTTTTTTATTCACTTCTTCTTCTTCAACTGCCTTGTCCTCTTCGAACGTTGGCAATCATTAGCGCTATCTTTACTTTGTCGATCGCTTTTCTTAAGAGACTTGTCGTAGTCTCACCATACCATTGTCGCAAATTCTTTAGCCAGGATATTTTTCGACGCCCAGGTCCTCTTCTGCCTTCGATCTTTCCTTCTATTATCACTTTGAGAAGTCTGTATTTTTCGTTTCTGATGATGTGTCCAAACTATTCCAACTTTCGTTTTTTTAAGTGTGAGTCTGACTTCGAGATCATTTGACATTCTCGCAAGCACATCCACATTGCGCACTCTGTTCATCCAGGATATTCTCAGCATCCGTCGATACGTCCACAATTCAAAAGCTTCCAGCTTTTTACACATAACGTCTGTTAGAGTCCACGCCTCAATTCCATAATAGAGGATACTGAAGACCTAACAACGTAATACTCGAGTGCGAACGGACAGCGACAGACTTCGGCAAGACAACACGGGCTTCATTTTTACAAATGATCCTCTGACCTGCTCAGTTCGAGCATGGACCTCCTGCAAATTATGCTAGTTGTCATTGACTTGGCATCCAAGATATTTGTATGACTTGTAACGACATTTCAAATGTTACACTAAAAAAAAAAATATAAGTATATATTTTTTTTACAAGGAATACAAATACCGACAATGAAAACAAGGTAGAGAAGGAAATTATAAAAGGGAAAGATAAATTGTAGAATTATATGGTGAATTTTTATCAAGAATTTCTTTAGCCTGATAACTAACGTGTATCATCCGTCTTTATGAAAAAAGTCATAATTGGTAGGTCATTTCAGAAAAAAGGTCACAATTGGGGAAAAAGGTCAAATTGGTAAGTCAGAAGTAAGGTAGGGGTCTGCTGAAGAACTTGACATGAATACAACCAAAAATTGTAAACAAAAGAAGTAATAATATAAAAAAAGGAAAAAAACCATGAAGGATAGACTGTATTTTGCTTTACTGTCCTGTGAACTAAAACTAAAGGAAAAGTAAGAAGGCACAGAAGAGAGAAACTGTCAGGACAGACCCAACAGTGAGACGATTTAAACGCCAATTTATACCTTCACGGTATTTCGTTCTGGGCGGAGTTCCCGGAGAGGAAGTAAGAGAGACCTTTCATCCCTTGCATATGAACGGGGATCAGCCGACATATACAAGTTATCCGTAAAAAGGCCCAATCAAGAGTGGATAGAAAAAGAAATCAGTGTGCGGACGAACACACCTAGATATGAAATTATCCCAATCAACCGCTATTCTCAAAGAACCACCCGACTCTAACTCCTGCTACCAAGCCTGTGTCAATAAGGTGGTTCACAACAGCCTGTCCAATTGATTTCCCCCAACGGACAAGGAAACTCACTTAAACAGAAGTTGACGCAGCTCGTATAAAGATTCAGGATAACCCCATAACGGAGCGGGCACGCGGTAAATCAATAACCATGTTTGTTTTTGTATTTCTCTTAGTTAAGGAAATTTCCTTACTAAAAAAATAGCACTCACTACTTTCACTCTCTCAATCATCCTTCACACAACAGGCAGCAATAGCAAAAAGGCAGTCCACATGACATGTTCAGGGAGGGAAAATAAAAAAATAAAGGTAAAAATAAAAGAAAGGTAGATGAAAGAAATTACAGTGAGTCAGAAGTCTGACACTTCACTGCAACAAGACGAAACGGCAATTATTATTTGCAAGAAGAAAATCAAATCGGTAAGAAACTACGTACCTTTGTAACACTACAAGATACGATGCAAAAAGTAATTATAATTGCCATCCGGTAAAATCAATGGAGAGGTAAAATTTATTTTTAACAGATAAAAATTAATTCAGAGACAAATCTGAATTAGAGCCAAGGTAAGGTTTCAGGTCCTTAACGTGCCAGTTACACACATTCTTCCCAGTAGAATCCATTAGAGCGTAAACTACTCGAGAAATTCGCTTCTTTTCTTAGAAGCATCTGAGAGAACTATAACGTTTCCAGACTTTATTCCCAAAGTTAAATACAGCATCTCGTCTCCTGAGATTATAGGTATGTGCATTTCGTTGATACGCAGCATGTAATTTCTTCCGAACTTCAGCAAAAATTATAGGTACATTTTTAATGTCCTTGGCATAAGTGTCAGGATCGCCGGGAGAAATTTCAATGTCTTCGGTAGAAGGAACGTCACCGTAATAACGTCCAGAAAGAGGAACATGACGCGCGAAATTTTAGAATGCAGGAGTATAGCCGGTAACTTCATTTTTGGCGGTATTTAAGGCGTGTTGAAGCTTTGGCAACTCCTTGTCCCAGTGTTGATGATGGCCCTTAACATAACAAAGGATCGCAGTACCTATAGTTCGATTCGAACGCTCAACAAAATTAACCTGAGGGGAATAAAAAGCTGTATACCAAACTTTCTGAACTTCATAAGTACTAGCTAAATCCTTGAACACGTTAGCAACGAGATTAGAACCATTATCACAGATAATGAACTGAGAAACCCCAAACTTGAGAAACACCTCATTCTCGATAAATTTAACGATACAGTTTGCGGTAGCTACGCGCAGGGGATGCAAAAGACAATATTTTATGAGCCAATCACAGACTACAAGAAGGTAACAATTGTTTTTGGACGATCTAGGAAATGGTCCC